CAATTTTTAAAATTTAGATGTTCAATACTCCAAATACCTAAAAATTACCCACACTTTTCGGGAAGCCTGGCGATTTTGTTTCCACGAGTTCGAAGAACTAGAGTGAAATTTTTTTGTTTGTACATCATATGTGGAGATTTAAAAAAGCACTGAAATTTTCTCATTTAAGGCGACTTAAACAGGAATGCATTTTGGGAGGTTGACTATTTGGAAAAAATTAGAGATCATTTTGATTAAACCGAATATTTCTAGTTCCAAGAGCCCGAAGGGCAGGAGTGGGATTTAAATATTTTTCAATTTTTGCCGCGTCCAAAACGAAGTTTTTAGGAGTCGTGCTTTAAAAAAGCCTTGAAACTTTGGCAAATTTGTCCATTTACGTCGCTTTTAACAACCATTAATGTTCAACAACTCGATGTTTAGATGTTGATGTCTCGATTTAAAGAAGCCCCGAAACTTTGACCAATTTTCCTATCGTCGATTTAAACATCGATAAATATTCAATAACTCAATTTGTAGATTTTGCGAAGTTGAGCCTCAATTGACCAAAAATTACCGATCACCATCATGACACCGAATAATTTCTAGTTCCACGAGCTCGAAGGACAAGAGTGGAATTTAAATATTTTAAAGATGCCCGGAAATTTYSWCGGAAGTTCTTTTTTTTTCGATTTTTRAGGGTTGACCTCAATTGACCAAAAATTACCGATCACTTTCATGAGACCGAATAATTTCTAATTTGCTCAAAGGTCTAGAGTGGAATGTTTTAAATTTGTGAAGTGCATCAAAACGATGTATTTGAATATTCGCCATTTAATGAAGCGATTTAAACAACGATACATATTCAATAACTCAATTTGTAGATTTTGGGAGATGGAGTCTCAACTGACCAAAAATTACCACTTACTTATGAGACCGAATAATTTCTATATCCACAAGYTCSAAGAACAAGAGTGGAATTTAAATATTTTTTGCGAAGTGCATGAATGTATTTGAAGATTCGCCGTTTAAAGAGACGCTGAAACTTCGACAAATTTTCCCATTTAAGTCGGTTTTAACAACCATAAATGAGTAGAGTTTGACCGAGTAGTTTCGAATACCACGAGTTCGAAGAGCAAGAGTGGTATTGACTAATTAATTTTTTACTTCAGCATTTTCCCATTTAGGTCGAATTAAAAGAATTTAGATTTTGGGGGGCTTGACACGTTAACTGCCTAAAAAGTGGCCGATCATTTTCCTGAAACAATGAATAGTTCTTAAATCACGATCTCAACAGACGAGTGAAATTATAATTTTCTCTGCTGGTGTTTCATAACACTGTTGAGGAAACTCGCGCCTCGCCTTCCAATTTCCAGGCTCCGCTTCAAAGCCAGTTAATTTATAACACAAGTATGAATTTCAGACTGTTTTACACTGGGGAGCCAAATATGGAAATGCTGAAATAATCAAGATATTTGCCGGAAAATACAAGGTGAACGTCAATGGAAAAACGGTAAGTGCGAAGCGGACATTGTCTGCACAACCATAATAATATGATAATAAATTAGGTTTGCTATAATACCATACTTATAAATATACTAATGAACATTTATTTTTTATTTTCATCAATCTGCTAACTTATAACTGGATACTGGGAGCTAGAATGGGGTAAGTGCAGATTTTAATTGGGATTAATCTGTTTTAATGTGATTTTAATGGTTCTTTTTATCAGCAAAAGAAAGCGCAAGTTGCTCTTGGAAACAGTCAGGTGCCTTTGAAGACGATATAAGCCAGATAATCAGACAAATTTGGCTTATTCCAGCACTAACAGCTCGTTAATTGAGACAAGGTCCAGCAACAAAAATTACCGCATATTAACCGGTGTAACATGCATATTTATCAGCATAACCTACTCAAAATATCTCGGCATCATTCCCGAGAAAAAGGCACTAGACCGTTAACGAGCTCTGTTATCTCTCACCGACATTATTTTAAAACTTAATCCGCTGCTCGACATCTGATCTTTGTAGGAATTCGTCGTCTTTCTCTCGTTTATCAGCTGACGTGGCAACGCCCGTTTTCTTCGGGTTGCCACTTTTTGAAACTTTTGATTTGTGACAACGGCTACTGGTCATGGACAGGGTCGGACAATTACTTTTCACTCCAAATACCCCATTAAATCCACTTAAATATGTTGCATTTGATCAGTTTCTCTACGTACTATGTTGCCAAATTGCTCCAGAAGTCTGAGTTATTGGTTGCAACTATCTCAAACTTTCCAAGTCATAATTCTAGACCGTCAATTTTTTGCCTCAAAAGTTACAGTTTCTTCTCACAAACTCGTCAAAGCTTCGAACATAATACCGAGAGCTAGAATTTTTTTATTCTCATCTGGTCCGGTCCTTGCCCAATTCCAAAGTGCGTAAGCCGTATTTAGGTAGCATTAACAACTAGCGGCGGCATTTCGACGAAAATTATAATATTAAAACCCTTTCTAAGGCAGCCCATTAAAAGCAGCGATTATAAAAAACGCCCATACATAAAACGAATTCTTCCCAAAAAATGCTATTGTGACTCGTTCATGTAAGAATTAGAACTATTTTGTAAGCGGCATGGTTGAAAGGGGGTCCGATTTTCTCACAAACCGTCATTTTTTTCTTTCACTTGGCCTTCCCAACCCGAGCTTGAGACTTGGTGGAAGTGTCTTTCTTTGTTTTGTCCAAGAATGACTGTGAAGTATGTTTGTTGTTTTTTTAGAACTCGCTGATTTTATTCATTGATTTAAACCCTTAAAGTATCTGAACGCCATGCGTAGAGATTGTTGGATTATGAACTTCTAAAAGGGCAATAAATACAAATAATCGTTCGGGAAGTCATGCTCTCACAGAAGCAAAAACCCGACGTAGTGATTTAAACACATTTTAACTCCATCTAATTTGCAGGGTTATACACCTTTACATATATCGGCCCAGTTTGACCACAGAAACATTTTCAAGCTACTCATCGAAGTGTACAGTAAGTAACGCAGGTTCATTCGCCATTGCGCCTCAATAAGAATACAATAAAAAGCGCGTTTTTTCGAAAAAAAATTGAATCTGTATTCTCCTGTAGAAGCCGACACAAAGATCCGAGACTACAGTGGCCGTACGGCCGAGTACTATCTTCTGAGCAAAGAACAGAAGGAAAACAGCCAGGTGACGCTACGTAGTGAGTATCAGAAACGTTCTTCCGGTATCAAAGTCCTCACGCATGAACGGCCTGTTAGAAAAACTAAGAGCTTTCGCAATAAACCGATTTCACTGCCCACCGCTGTACAATTAAATCCTTCTGTTGGGGGGCTTTTTCAAAACTATCCCACCTATCCTGGAACCTCAAAGTAACTGAAAAAAATCGTCTGCTACCTCAACAGTCATCATTAACTGGAAACAACACCATTTGTAGTTCTTGTACTTTTCTTTGAGTTTTCATAATAATTTTTTTGGTCGCTATTTAGCTTTAGACATTTTAGTTAAGCATGTAGCTTTTATAATGTAAATATGTTTAGTCACTTTAATAACTAAACTTTGTTGGTTTTTAAAGTGTCTACGGCATTTATGTCTAGTTGATATGGGTGTTAGAGCTTGTAGGCGGAATAATTCACTTGGGAGACTGTTCTTCCTTACATTATTATTACGATAATTTGTATTAATTATTATAGTTAATTTTCATTTTAGTATCACTTTTAGTCTGGTGTGTATGGTTGTGGTGTTGCATGATATATTTTATCTTCTAGACTTACTTCCAAACATCGTTAAACAATTGATGTTTTTTTTATTTTTAAGAAGTTAGTAAGCGGCATTTTTTCAAGATTTGATGTTTATTTTATTTTATGAAAAATGTCTTCGTGAGTCAGCAAAACGTTTCCGTAGGTTTTAAATCTTAATTGATAATTATGGTGCATAAGTTTTAGCGCGTTTCTCGGAGAAATCGATTTTTCAGTCACTGACTGCAGTGTTTTATAAAATTTTACTAGTTTTTATGTGCATGTTAATCATAGAGGCGGGGCGGAAAATAAACAAATTATCACCCAGCTGATGGTTTTATTTTTTTCAGAAACTAAAGGAAGGAAGAAGCAATCGGGTAAGTGCGTTTCAATTTAAAATCACTGCGAATTAACATACTGGGCGATTTAAAATATCGTTACGCATAAAACATTGCCTTAGTCAAGATTCATTTCCTCGATTTTGTATGCAAGGAGGCATAAAACTAATTTAAGGCGTTTGAAGAATGCGCCAACTGTTCAGAAAGTTCTGGACAAGATGAAGAACCGGAGCAATCAGTGTTTCGTCTGTATCTGGTTTAGGCGATTTTTCGCAAGTAGCAAAGCAGTAAAGCAAAGCCAAAAGGGCTTCTGAAAAAGTTTACAGGTTCCGTAAAAGAAAAAAAACCAAATGTTAATTACTGAAATAAAACAAGAAACATACAAGCGGGGAACTGCTAAGAAATACACAGCAATAATGCTTTTTATGTTATGTTGGAAAAATCCGACGGCTAAAAATGTTGAGGGCAAAATCAAACCCTATACACTACACGAATTGAGTTGAACTTACAGATGATGGCTTTAATCCTAAAAAATCTTAATTTTTATGTTCCGGTTTTGCTTAGATAAAGACTTGGGCTTTCTGAGGATCGGTTCCTTGAACGTGAGGGTCAAGAAGACTACAGAGGCCTTCAGCAACTTCTTAGGAGTAGGAAATAGTGGATCCGTAAATCCGATCAATTCCACGTCGGAAGAAGTGCAGAAAGGCTGGGGATCGGCCGACAATATCAGCAAGGTAACAACATTTTCAGCATGAATGAATGTAAAACTTTGACTTAATTTGGACTATCGAATCTGTTCCTTAACAAACAAACACGCAAAAACCGAAATCATTAAATCAGAATATTAAAAGATCCTTGTTATATCTACTATTTTATTTCCGTTGATTTTAAAGTTCTTTTCGACTTTTACCAGTTGATTATCATTTTTCAAATTTCCAACGTGTTATTTTCATGCTTCTGAAAATACTTGTCTTGTGTACTATTTTTTCTTAATTTTTCAATAATGAGTTTTCTTAACAACAGTATTTCCGCTCTTAGCTGCTGTTCAATATTGAAAAAAAATACTTTGTCACCCTCTGCATAAACACTTGTTGTCCATTTTTTTCGCAAAATGAAGCCTTTTTCACTGAAACGGACGAACAACTATGAATCTAAAACTTTACCACCAGGCTGTCCAGATCTTGGTCCGATAAATTTTTATTTCTGAAGTCACAAAGCGCGTAATCAGGTAAATCGCCCTGGATATTAAAACGTATCGGGATTACTGTGAATGATTTTCAAATATTCATAACTTGGAAGCAAGAGTAGGCTGATCAGATTTTTTCAACCATCGACTTAAATTAGGCAGAATATTTGTTGTGTTTGTGGTATAATCGAAAAAACTAATTAGATTTTCTCGATAAAATCGTTAATTCTCATTTTTTTAGGATTGTACGATGCAACCGCCCAAAGGCGTTTTTCGAAAAAAGTCAAAACGAGCTGCAGATTCAGGGCTGAGTAGCACGCCGTCAACCCCAAGGGCCCCAGTAAAGAACTACTCGACCAGCAGCCTCCCTTTAACTCATCATATCAACGACTCAGATTCGGACAATGCGGCCGGATTTGACTCTAACTGGCAAAATTAGCCCAACCAATGAATCTACTTAATCGGAAGCGCTTAAGACGTAACGTGGTTGTATTTTAGTATGTTTGGCTCATTCATAAATGAGCAAATTGCATTAATATAATGCCGAATAGTTGAGGCACTGCGTGCAAATATTTGTTGTATGTGTAAAAATCAAAATGTTTATCATCGTGACGACAAAAAAGCTTTCCGCATACCCATATGAAACATCTGAAAAATTTGCCGAAGTGAATGAAAACACTCACTGTTGTGTGCGGCAAAACAAATTTAACCCGCATAGTCATGTTGTTTTTTCCGCGTCATCTGGCCAGCACCTGGAAAAATCCCGAGTTTTTGCAATTTGATTCACTGTGCCATTCAGGAAGATACTTTTCTCAAATGGCGCGTCCAGGAAAAAAGCAATCAAGCGAGCAGTGCGTTGATAATATCTAGTCGCGTGTCGATTAATAGAATCCAAGCAATCCAGCCTGGAAACGGTTTGTTCCAAATTTTAACACCTGAAATCCGGTGTTGAAAATAGATTGCTGAAAACGGTGTTACGGTTGCGTAAATATACAGATACGAGGTACTTTTATGTACGCAAACCAACTCAAATAGCCAGACATTGTGCAGCTTTACAACACATTGAACCCCCTGGTAATCGCTTCGAGCACATCTTGCCGAATAAAGTGTGCGCAAAGCACTTTTTTTTATCTAAACCAAAATTAAAAATGTATCCTGTACTGTATGATAAACGGAAGTAGAACACGGTACATGTGTGGCTCTTGTGTAGTGCATGCGGCATTTTTTTCAGATTATTTCATATGGTTATTAACGGGAAGTATACATTAGTCGACGGTGTACAGGTTAATGTTTACGGCATTCTATCAGTTGTTTTCGATTTAATCGAGATGTTGCGGAAAATGTTGAAAAAATGTTCAATGTGCGCTTAGTTTACGAGGTTGTTTATTTATAATTATGTACTGCTATAAAAATCAGTCAATAAATAGAATATTTTACATGTGCTGTTTTTCATTTCATTCATTATAATATATAAAGTTTTAGCAGTTTTTTCCTTTTTCTTAGATCGAAATTTATTATTAAGCGTGTTTTTGCCAGGCCGCTAAATATTATGTTTTTCCGTCCTCATTTTTTAGCACCTTAAACAACAAATCTTTTACGCATGTTATACCTAAAGGCACATCATTTGAACGCTATAGACTAGCAATTAGACGATTTTAAAATTCCCGAAAATGCCGATTTTTCCACTAAAATTTAATGAATAAAATCTAGCTGGATCCAAATCATCATTTTAAGGTCCAAATTTCAGACTCGCCAGCTCTCGCATTCGTTTTTTTATTGACTTATTTTGAGTTTCTTATTGGGTTAATTATCCATATAACTATGTACCATCAACCAAGAAAATTTCATGATTTTAGCAAATCGTTAATAAATTTTTCTCAAATGAAAAAGTGTTTCCTGAATGCGGTTGCTCAAATGAAAAAGTGTTTCCTGAATGAAAAATGCGGTTTTAAGTGCGGCACATGTGAAGCATTTTATGAAACCAGCTCGGCAATAATGCGATCAAATACGCACAAAATGCGTAAATTCGTCATCATTCTGTGGATTTTTTGCGTAACATCTCTTTTCGAACAGACACATATATTGGAAAACACAGTAAAAATTTCAATATTTCTGGCTAGTTCATAATCATACTTTATACTTTTACTGTAAATAAAACAAATAATATATTATTCAAGACTTATTATAAAGATAATAAGATTCATCATTTTGAAATGGTATTTTCAGCGAAAAAAAAATTCATCAACATTTTTTCTGAGTAACGTTTTACTAAGTTGTTCAACCAACTAAAAAAATTCTTCTAGATTGAACTAGAAGTGAAAATTCCAGTCTCGGGTCTCGTAAAGCTTTAATAAATGACTTATAACTCATTAACCGATGAGATACCCAGGCACACTGTTGACTAATTTCTGATAAAAAAATTGATAGACTACTTAATTGTTACATAACTAATACAAATACATTATATAATTAATAATCTTTAAAAATAAACTTCACAATTTGCACAATATTTTTTTCTAGTCGCTTCTATTTTCATTTTTAAAGGCAATTTTAGAACACATTTAAAAGGCCCCAGATCTTCAAGCTGCAGACCACCAAACACACGCTTTTCAGATAAATTCCCGGAAAACCTCATTTTTCCTCCAGCATTTTACGAGTTAAGTTATTGCATGTTTGACTGGAATCGACGTTTTGTATTTCCATGTTGCGAACTTATCGGTATTCATAACTTCGGCTTTCCTGGCTTGCTGTGTAATTTATCGTTTTTTCTTTTATCGGTTTTGTATCATTAAGTAATTTTTGTGATCTAAGAAATTCTTCTCCACTTTCCTTCTTTTTTTGGACTTTTTCAGCAGTTGTCGCTTTCTGCCGGAAAATCTCGTTTGAATGAACAGTCAGTAATTGAGGTTTGTTCGGTTTTCCGCATGTTAAGCATTTCCTTTACGTAACCAGATCAACATTAGAGGACTTTTATGTGCAAGAAAAAATGCAATCATTTTTTACTGTAAAATCGCCTGAGAGACCCAAAGAAAAAGGTAGACAGACCAGGGGCGGATCCAGTCTTCTGTTATCTATGAAATTAGAAAAATGATCGTCGTTTTGTGCAAGGGTGGCGCAAGATTGTTGCAAAATTTCATGTTTTCCGTCCCGTTTT